ATATCCCCCTACTGAAATGTAAGCTCTGTAAGATGAGGGACTCTGTTTTTATTCACAATGAATTTTATTCATTAAGTTCCCATTGCCTAAAACATTGTTCTAGTAGGTGCTCAGGAAATAGTTTAGTGTTAAGTGAATGCCTTTTGTGAGATTACACTGTTTTCTTTTTGTTCCTTGAACGTTAACATACAAATTCCACATCTTTGGAGGTAGGTTATTTACAAGATTATCAGCCAACATTTATCAAGGATCTTTGTGTAGAGCACCATATTTTGAACTCCTTCATTTTGGATTTTGATGCTAAGATTTATATGTATTGGTATTACAGGGCCTTTTTTTCATTGCTGTGTAACCAGGGATCTCTGCACCATCAGAACGATTCCTTTTTCCTGAAATTTCTAGAAAGTCTAAGGGTTTCTGCCAAGTAGATAATCAAGGGCCTTTATGTGGAAAAGCTAATTTCATGCTCTGCAAGTAAAGTAATACACACTCCAAAACTAGAATATAGGTGTATAATTATTTAGGTTTTTGTATACCAGATCCTGAAATAGTAGATGAATACACAGATTTCAGGCAAAGAAGTTTTCCTAATGTTCTTCATAGGAGCCCCAGCTTCTGCCTTAAGAGTGTGTGCTGGCTACACGGTTTAATTTAATGCTCAGTAAAGGCAGATGTGACACCATGTCTGAAATCTCATACTGTGCAAATATATTAGACCCTGGTGTCTTCTGGGTCTACATTTTCCCAAGTCATTGTCTTGTGATATTCTGGTCATTTTTCCATTGAAAAGCATGTTTAGTACACAGATGATGACACCTGAAAGATGCCCTACCATGTTAAGTTCCAAGGTTCAATCCCTGATTCTTGAATACTGCCATGCAGTTTCAGGCATCTTTCTTTCCACTACTCCATGGCCATAAGCATTCCTCTTCTGAATCAAGCACCCCTGAATTGTACTATGAAGTCCAGTTATCTAAGCAAGCTTCTCCAGTGGGTGAGAAAAAAGATACCAAGTTGTCGGGCCTGGGTGTGGTGGTTCACGCCTATAATCCCAGCACTTTGGGAGGCCGAGGCAGGCAGATCACCTGAAGTCAGGAGTTCAAGACCAGCCTGACCAACATGGAGAAACCCCGTTTCTACTAAAGATACAAAATTAGCTGGGTGTGGTGGCAGGCCCCTGTAATCCCAGCTACTTGGGAGACTGAGGCAGGGGAATTGCTTGAACCAGGGAGGTGGAGGTTGCAGTGAACCGAGATGGCGCCATTGCATTCCAGCCTGGGCGACAGAGCGAGACTCCATCTCAAAAAAAAAAAAAAGATACCAAGTTGTCTCCAGTGATTTTATTTTTTTTATTTTTATTTTTTTAAATAGGCTAAGCAAGGAAGCACCAACAGCTATGCTTTATGGCCTAATTAATTATTTGCCATTTGGGAATTCTAAATCTGAAGACCAGGATACTTGCCCACACCTGCAGCTCTCAAGGTCAGGTTGTTTCTGAGCTGGCAATATTTGTAATGGGAACTTGTTGAGCTTGAACAACTTGAAAAATGTGTTCTGCCCACAGTTTCCTATAAAAGTATGAGTATCTTCTTGACCTGTTTCCCATAATGTTTTCCTGAGTAAGCAGAATAAATCAATTAATTATCACTTGTCGGGGTTTTTTCTTTCTTTTTTTTTTTTTTCTTTTTTTTGAGACGGAGTCTCGCTCTGTCGCCCAAGCTAGAGTGCAGTGGCATGATCTCTGCTCACTGCCAGCTCCGCCTCCTGAGTTCATGCCATTCTCCTGCCTCAGCCTCCTGAGTAGCTGAGACTACAGGCGCCCACCACCACGCTCAGCTAATTTTTTGTATTTTTAGTAGAGATGGGGTTTCACCGTGTTAGCCAGGATGGTCTCCTGACCTCATGATCCGCCCGCCTCGGTCTCCCAAAGTGCTGGGATTACAGGCGTGAGACGCCGCGCCCAGCCACTTTTTGGGCTTTATTTAACAGTTTAAGGGTGTACCTAGACGGCTTTTTGATAGCTAAGATATTTCTTTACTTTCACATAACTTGGAATATTTATTTTTATATCATTGGTAAGTAGCAATAAGTATGCCTGTTTAGATAGGTGGTCTTATATATGCTTCAGAACTTCTAAAATTTTGGCTCGAATGTTCATATTATCAACTTCTTGGTGTAATTAATTTTCTGGATCATAGCAGTGGAAAGAGACCCCAGTACTCTTCTTCAGTGCTGTCCATAATGAAGTGTCTTTTGCCAACTCATTCAATAGATATTAATTGTGTCCCTGCTATGTACCAAGTACTGTTCTAAAGCATTAAAAATATAGTGGTGAATATGACCAAGTCTTCATGGAGTTTGTGTTCTAGAAATGGATACACAGCCTGGTGAATGGATTCAGTTTTCTGTACTGTTTTGCCTCCCTCCTGCCACTCTTCACACATTTCCAGCATTTGAACCATCCTGAGCTATGCAGTTCCCTGAAAAACATTGTGCTCTTCTGTGGCTCCGTTTCTTGGCTCCTGCTGTTCCCTTATTTGTTTACAATCAGGCAAATGCTTGCACTTCATTTAAGACTTAGCTCAAATGCTGTTTCATCTTTGAACCCTCCACTAGGCCATAACTGTTAACTGCCTTGATTTTAAACCATTGTGGAAATAAATATCCTTTCTAGAAAATAATTTACATTTCTTAGCTGGAAAAACATAACCCAACTTGGAATTCCTGAGTATGCTTCTCTTGTCCCCACCCCTTGATCTGGGGGTTCTCTAGACTATCTCTGTGGTTTAGCTGCATGAAGAGTTAACTTGTGGCACCACCAAGTGGTTCCGTCAGGCAGTGCAACTTAGTTCTCCTACAAGATCAAAGTAGTCCAATTTATACCATGTACCTATGAAGGGAGGGAAGAAGATGGCAGAAAGGATGGAAGAAAGGAACAAAGAATTATAATGCAATTGAGAAGTGTAATGATTAGACCATCTCTACCTCTAGAAGCTTAAAATCTTACAATACCTTTAGCAGGCTTGCGATCTATATTTGGGATTTTTTTTAAATCTTCACTATTTTGTGACCTTTAAACCTACCACATAGAAATGAGAAATGGTTTGCTTATGTTCCTTCATTATGTGAGACCAGAGTATTTGCATATACTCGTTTTTTCCTTACTACTCAGCTTTGCTCTGGGGAATAACCTTTTCTTTACTGACCCATTGTGAGAGCCTCATTGAACTCTGCATTTCCTACTTGGTCTGAGTCTGAGATCTCACCATAGCATGTGCTCTCATAGACTATATCCTTGTGGCAAAATGGTTCTTAAAAGATTTGACAGAAAAATTTTTTTTGGCTAAGTGAGGGATAAATGTATAGTGATAATCCCAATAAACAAATTCTCAGAAATCAAAAGTTACCTAATCAAAGTTGGCTCAAATATTGAAGTACTTCAGTGAAATTAGTTTATTTAGTATGACTTCATGCCTGCAGGGACAGGGAAACAGAAAGATGGAGAGTGACAGCACTCCATCTGGGGTTCTTGGTTCTAATGGGGAGGCTGAGGTTTCATCTAACCTGTCAAGGAGAGTGGGTTGCATTCCTTGACTTACACTTTGGAGTGGGAAAAATGCAAAGCACACATATACACAAAACCCCAGAGATATGAGACCACTCTTTCTAGGTCTCAGCATGAAGCAAATCCATAGAATGGAACAGATCTCAATTTGATTGAACTTTTAAGATTTTGACCACCATGTGTTAGAACCATTCCTTTTCTTTAATAGAAGTGTCATTGAGCCAGGTGTGGTAGCTCACACCTGTCATCCCAACACTTGGGGAGGCTGAGGTGGGAGGATCACATGAGCCCAGAAGTTTGAGACCAGCCTGGGCAACATGTTGAAACTTTGTCTCTACAAACAAATTTAAAATTAGCTGGGCATGGAGGTGCACGCCTGTGGTCCCAGCTATTCAGAAGGCTGAGACCGGAGGATCACTTGAGCCCGAGAGGTCAAGGCTACAGTGAGCTATGATCGTGTCAATGCACTCCAGCCTAAGCAACAAGCAAAACCCTGCCAAAAAAAAAAAGAAGGAAAGAAAAAAAGAAAGAAATATCATTGCAATGATACTTCACATATGTGAGATAAACAATACATTCACCCTTTGTTGAACTACCATGCCCAGGTTATTTCAAACTATGGAAGGATCTCTTGTATCATGACTCAGGACTTGTTATAACAGGGTTTCCTTATGCTCTGTGTTGAATCACATCCAAAATGCAGAAAGCATAAGCAATAAAGAACCTAACATTATTGAAGTTCCTCTAAAGGTCGTGTCCAGATTTGTCACCCCACACCCATCCAGTCAGGTGTCTTTTAGTTACTCAAATGGTTTCCATATTGTTAGACCGTGTTCCCTCTAAAAAAGAAGACAAGGGGAGGTGGTTCTGTCTTTTATATCAATAAAATTCTTCATAAAACTCAGAAGTAGAATGGTGAGAAACTAGGGAAGAAAAGTAGTAACGCAAGGCTGAGAAAATAAGATGTCTGTTTAAGAAGGATCAAAGCTGATAGAACAAACTTAATTAGCTAGGAATTATAGAGAAAGTTGGTATTATCCCGTTAGGAGAGTAAAGTATCAAACATCTCCTACTTGGTGGTTCTGTCTCAATGTTCAGTTTACTAAGTGGAAAAAATATCCTATCCTGAATCTGTGCTATCTAGATTATTTAATGCTTTCCTTTCTAAAGATTCAAAAAGGTAGATTTCTGCTTATTTTTAATACTTTCTCTGGTCTCAAACTCTGTTTTATGGAGAGATTGGTTTGTTACAATTTGTTTTATGGTATCATATGTTCTATCAAGTTGGCTTTAGATAGCCACTTCTCTTTTCTTCTCTCTCTGTAAAGATACAGATGTTTCTGCCACTAAGAGCAGTCAAGCACCCCTGTACATTCTGAGTTTGTGGCCTGACTAATCAATGGCGTGTTTTCTGGGGCGGGTGTTACCTTTCTAGAGTGTCCTGCCATACTTCGTAGCTACAAAACTGGCTAAAATCCGAAAGCCAACTTTGGATAAGCCCACTCCGGAGACATTTGTGAAGTCTGCAATTAAAACAGTCGGCCTGCAATCCCGAACCAATGGATACCTGATCCATGTTCTTATGGTAGGTAGATTGTTTGAGTCGCAAATCAGTACTTTCTGGCTTGGGGTTTCTTTCCCATTGAGTTACAGGATAGTATGTAATAGATTAGCATATATACATTGTCCAGCCATAGTAACAAGACATCTATGTCCTGTTATAATCATAATGGTTGTATACCCAAGAACTTTACAATCTACCTCTAAATAAAAACAACACTATAATAAAATGTTAAATCATATGCTTCAATTTGGCCCAAATTGTAGGCTATAATTACGTATCTCTTGCATTGTTTCCCTAGGGATGGATAATCTCAAACCTGCCTTCTTGGATTTATTTGAAAATAGTCATGAATATGAACAAGGCTACACGGGCTCACTATCTGAAGAAAACCAAGAAGAACTAAGCATTGATAACTGCATTGTAACTTGGCCAGATGCTCCAGCATATGCACGTTCACTGCAAGGCACCCTACTGATTTTGAAAATCTGAAGTTGTCATTTCAATAGTTATTAACGTGACTAAATGTTATCTTAACTAAGAAAAAAACAGAAGTTGCTTTTAGGGGTTTCTGACATATATTCTGGATACTACCAGAGGTAATTTTGAAGTTTAATATAAATGCTCATATCAAATGAATATAGAACTAATATTGTTGAGAACAGCTAATAGGAAGAAATACTATTATAGCAAATCACAGAATGATAGACTCAAACATAAAACTCAGCAGTTTTATCTGCTTCAAAGTGCCATTGACCATTATTCCTGTATTTTCTCTGAAGCTGATTATAAAAACCAATGTCCAGCTACTCTTTTGTGTTTGACACTTTGAAGAAATGGAGATTGATTTGATTTGTTTATAAGCAGACACACTGCAATTTACAAAGATCTCTTTAAGGTTTTATAAAATTATCTTCCAGTTTGTACATTTATATGGAATTGTTCTTTATCAAGGGTAGCTAATGATGTGAAAATAATTGTGAATATGGAGTTATTTCTGACACATGAAACCCACCAAACTACGCTTTCTTATAACGCATATTTCTTCTCAGTTTAAATGTATGTAAATATCAAAGCTATATGGTATGATTTATAAAGATAAATGGGCCAAAGTGCACATTGAGACTGGCACCCATCTATGGTACCACTGAAACCCTGACCCAGAAAAGTGGCTTGCTTGGACACCCAGTCTTCTTTGTTTCTGCATTTAACCAATATTGATCACACGTGACACAGGCTAGTCCTATGAAAGTAATGACTTCATAAAAATGGCATTATAATTTTTAGATTGATACTCTGTAGGTAGGTGCTGATATAATTAGTTTTAATAAAACATGCTGTAACCATGGTATACAACAAAAATACATTTATTTGGTGATTGAAATTAAGGCCATATTTACAATGACTTAATATAAGGCTGACTTTTATCCTGCTTCATAACTTGGATGAGGAACTCACCAAGAAAGAATTCAATACTGTGAAATATGCAACAAGAAGATTGGCCTTTACCTAGGCTGTGGTTCCTGAGCTCTGAGTGTTAAGCACCTGTAGATTTGTATTAAAAAAAGAAAAAAATGGGGCCTTAGTTTCTGGCTTTTAATTTTGCCAGCTAAGGACATAAAACAAAAACAAATAACCATCTGCTATCAGCATCATTATGTAAAAGAAAATATATTTTAGCCCCTAAAATTAGGAAGAATGGAATCTCACAATAAAGATTGTCATTTAAATTGAATAAACATAGCTTTATGAAAAACACATTGTTTGCCCTTTTTTCCTCTCATTTTATTGTAGAAATGGTGACACCACAATGACGTGGGTGGTATTGTATCTGCTTTCACATGTTGGTTGGTTGGTTGGTTGGTTGGTTGGTGAGTTGGTTTTGGTGTAGTAGTCGGTAGTGGTGGTAGATAGAGGAGGGATTCGTTTGCAAGTATATAAAATACTTTTTCTTTTATCCCACTTACAAAATACTTGTAGGCTAAACACAGTGGCTTACACCTGTAAACTCAATGCTTTGGGAGGAAGGCAGGAGGATTGCTTGAGCCCAGGAGTTCAAGCCCAGCCCGGGCAATATAGCAAGCTCTTGTCTCTACAAAAAAAAAAAAATAAAACATAAAAAATTAGCCAGGTGTGGTGGCACGCACCTGTAGTCCCAGCTACTTGGAAGGCTGAGGCAGGAGGATTGCCTGAGCCCAGGGATTAGAAGCTACAGTGAGCTATGATTGGACTACTGCACTCCAGTCTGACTGACACAGTAAGACCCTCTTAAAAAAAAGAAAAGAGTTGTAATTCTGGCTGGAAAATCCCTTAACAATTTCAAAACTTCTGAGCTGTGGCTTTGATTGCTTCAACTTGGCAAGCACCCACTTGTATTTGACATTCAAGGGTGAAGTTGATGACATAAAAATGTATTTTTCTAGGCACATGAAAAGAAAAATTATGTTAAAAGAGAAAACAGTATACTCCAAATCTTCAAAATAGTGAAGTAAAAATTTTAGACTTAATTTTATGTTGACTTGATTTTATGTTCTAATGCATACTAGGTAAGATTTGAACACAGACAGGCCAGGCGCGGTGGCTCACGCCTGTAATCCCAGCACTTTGGGAGGCTGAGGCTGGCCGATCACGAGGTCAGGAGTTTGAGACCAGCCTGGCCAACATGGTGAAACCCTGCCTTTAAAAAAAATACAAAAATTAGCTGGACGCAGTGGTGCGCGCCTGTAGTCCCAGCTACTCAGGAGGCTGAGGCAGGAGAATCCCTTGAACCCGGGAAGCAGAGGTTGCAGTGAGCCAAGATTGTGCCACTGCACTTCAGCCTAGGCAACAGAGTGAGACGCCATCTCAAAAAAAAAACAAAAAACAAAAACCAAAAACGATTTGAACACAGAAAGACTAGAGTAGACAAGAATCACTTCTCCATTCTTGGTTATATTTCATTATCTTTATACACTACTGAAATCAGTTTGTTTCAAGTATTTTACCTGGGATTCTTGCATCTATATGAAATTGGGCTGCAGCCTGCCTTTTTTACACTTTTTTGGTCAGTTTATGGTGTCAAGATTGTAACTCCATTAAATGAATTGGAAAGTGTTGCCTATTTTCCTGTTCTCCATAAGAATTTGTAAAAGATTGGAATGATCTGTTTGTTAAAAGTTTATAAAGCTGTCTGGCCTAGTATTTATCGGTTGGAAGACTTTAACCACTGTAATTAGACTATTCAGGAATTCTATTTTTTACTTGAGTAAATTTTGAAAAGAAAAACTAAGCATTTACCCATTTTACAATTTATTAGCATAAAGTAGCTTAAGGAATTTTCTTATTTCTAAACCTCTCCTGGATACGCATACTTCCTTTTCTGATACTGTTTGTATCTTCTCACTTTCTTTTCCTTGGCCATTTTACCAGAAGTTTGTCTATTTTATTTTTTTAAAGAACCAACCTTAGCATTGTTCATTCTTTCTTTTATGTTCTGCTTTCTGATGATTTGTTCTGTTGTTTTTCTCATTCCATAAATTGGACATTTAACTCATTCATGTTCAAGGTTTTTTTGATTTTTAGTAAGTATCTGAGTTTATTTGAATTATATCCTTTGCTTCACCCCATGATTGAGTGTATGCATATATACAAACATGTATATCCAAATTTTTATTGATTTTCCATTTATATCTTTACATTATGATTTATTTGACCTGTTAATTATTTTAAAGTATTTTAAATGCACAGACTTAAGAGTTTTATAAATGTGTTTCTTTTTCAAAAAAATTTTGTATTGTTAATATTACTGTCAATAAGACAATTTTATATTTTGTGAATCCTGATAAAATGTGCTGAAGACACAACATTAATTATGTGATATTCCTGCCAAAAATGCATAACATGAACATAGTAGAGAGAAATATCAGAAAAAGCTAAAATGAGGAATATCCTACAAAATTACCAGCCTATACTTGTCGAAAATTTCAGGAGACTAAAGGGACGTGACAAGTACCTGCAGCACGTGTTTCTGGATTGGATCCTGGTCAAGAAAGCATTTTTTAAACTTTTGTTCTTTCGGACATTTTTGAGACAATAGGTAAAATTTGAGTAAGGTCTGTAAATTATTAATAGCATTATATCAGTGTGACTTCCTGATTTTGAAAATAACGTCATGGTTACTTGAAAAAGTCCTTGATTTTTAGGAAATAGACACTGGAGCGTTTAGGGTTAACAATATTGTATATGCAACTGAATCACAAAACGTTTTGGAAAAATTATAGAGAGAAAATGGTAGAGTAAATGGGGTAAGATGTTAACCTTTGCAAAATCTAAGTGGAGGTATATGAATACTTTGTACTGTTTTGCAGATTTACTGTAAATCTGGAATCATTTCAAAATAGAAAATTTAAAAAAAGCTTTTGTTGTTGGTTCTAACTAATTGCATGTGGTCAAAGAACATGTGAGTATGATAAAGTTTGGGCAAATTATTATAACCTTTCTCTGCCTCAGCTTTGCCATCTAAAAAATGGAAATAATGTCGTATATTGTTTGAGAGGAAGTTAAGACATTTAGTGTACTGAGAACTCATCCAGGCACAAGTATATAAATATATGTTGCAGTAGGCTGAATAAATGGCCCCCAAGACATCAGGTCCTAATCCATGAACCCTATATTACCTTACATGGAAATGAGGTCTTTGCAGATGTAATTAAATTGGAGATCTTGAGAGGGGGACATTTTCTTGAATTATCTAGGTAGGTCCTAAATGCAATCACAAGTGTCTTTAATCAGAGGCAGGGAGATTGCAGACAGAAGAGGAGAAGGCAATGTGATCATGAAGGCAGAGATTGGAGTGATGCAGCCACAAACCAAGGAATATCAGTAGCCAAAAAAAAAAAAAAAAAGGCGGGGGGGGAATGATCAAGGAACAGATTTTCTCCTAGAAATTCTGGAGGATGAAGCATCCCACCAACAATTTGATTTTGGTGCAGTAATACTCATTTTGGACTTCTGGCCTCCAGGGAACTGTGAGAATAAATTTCCGTTGTTTTAAACCACTGAGTTTGTGGTAATTTGTTCCAGCAGCCGTAGGAAACACAAATGTAAATTGTATGACCTACTAGAGGTTTTGTTTGTTTAGTGTCAGGGTCTCCCTCTGTTGCCTAGGCTGGAGTGTGGTGGCGTGACCATGGCTCACTGCAGCCTTGAACTCCTGGGCTCTTGCAAGTGATCCTCCCTCTTCAACCTCTTGAGTAGCTAGGACTATAGGCACTGGCTTTTTAATTTCTATTTTTAAAGATGGTGGTCTCAGTATGCTGCCCAGTCTGATCTTGAACACCTGCCTCCTGGAATCCTGCCTCAGCCTCCCAAGTAGCTAAGATTCCAGGCATGAGTCACCACACCTAGCTGGAAATTTTTTTTATGTCCAGGTATGGCCACTTTTTTTTATTGTTTGTTTGTCTCTCTTTCTTTCTTTCTTTCTTTCTTTCTTTCTTTCTTTCTTTCTTTCTTTCTTTCTTTCTTTCTTTCTTTCTTTCTTTTTCTTTCTTTCTCTCTCTCTTTCCCTCCCTCCCTCTCTCTCTCTCTCTTTCTTTCTTCTTTTTTTTTTGACAGAGTCTCACTCTGTCGCCAGGCTGGAGTGCAGTGGCACGATCTCAGCTCACTGCAACCTCCGCCTCCCGGGTTCAAGTGATTCTCCTGCCTCAGCCTCCTGAGTAGCTGGAATTACAGGCACCCGCCATTACTCTCAGCTAATTTTTTGTATTTTTAGTAGAGACAGGGTTTCATCATATTGGCCAGGCTGGTCTCGAACTCCTGACTTCATGATTCGCCCACCTCGGCCTCCCAAACTGGTGGGAGTACAGGCATGAGCCACTGCACCCGCCCATGGTATGCCAGTTTTTTAAGTGTTTCACATATGCTTCCTAATTGTTCTTAGTTTTCTTTATTTTTCTTTATTTTTATTTTTTCTTTATTTTTTGAGACTGGTCTCACTCTGTCCCCTAGGCATGTACAATGGCACGGTCTTGGCTCACTGCAGCCTCAACCTCCTGGGCTCAAGCAATCCTCCCACCTCAGCCTCCTGAGTAGCTGGGTGTGTTGCCCAAGCTGGTCTGGAACTCCTAGGCTTAAATGATCCTCTGGCCTTGGCCTCCCAAAGTGTTGGGAATACAGGCGTAAGCCAAGGCACCTGGCCTCTAATTGTTGTTTTCTACATATGTGGCAATGCTTGTTAATTGTGTTGTTCAAATCTTTCATATCTTTACTAACTTTTGTCTGACCTATTAATAATTGGTAAAGGTATTTTGAATTATCTTACTATAATGGTAGATTTGCCAATTTCCCCTGCTTTATCAGTTTTAACTTTGTACATTCTGTTGAGTGAATGAAGTTTAGAATTCTTGTGTTGTCCTGGTGAGTTGAACTCTCCTTGTTATGTAGTGACTTCCTTATTGCTGATGCTTTTTGCCTTAGCAAAAAAAAAAAAAAAAAAAAAAAATCTGTTTTCTGTGATCTCAATATAACTTGGGTTGGTATTTAGCGTATATCTTTCAATCCTTTTACCTCCTATCTTCCCACGTGTTGATGTTTAGTTTTGTCTCTTGTAAGTCAAATAAACCTGGATTTTGGTTTTTCATTTGGCCATCTCTACCCTTTAGTAGACAAGTTTATACATTTACATTTACATTTATTATAATTCTTAAAACATGAAGACTTCTATCATGTTATTTTGTACTATTTGTTTCTCTTTCATGTGTTTTCTCCATTACTTCTTGATTGA